AACTTCGCAGCAAAACACACAACCAAGTCCACCACCGGGGCTCGTTACCATCAGTAACAGCAACAACAACTGCCACAAACGAGAACTTACCAAGTTAGCATTTATATTTGTTGTTGTTATGTACCACAGAGTCAGAATAGCTGACCCTCCAGTGGGTTTATAGAGGCAGTTAATAGCATGGGAGGCAACTGCCCCTCCTTCTCTGGCAGAGAAGCTGGAGGCCTTGAACCATATGCCTTCAGGATTGCTGTGCCACTTTCAGCCACTAGGCCACCAGAGCTCTCTCATTTATATTTAATCTTGTTTCCTTTTTAAAAGCCACCTTGAAAGGCTGTTCTACATTGTTAGTTGCTGTCGAGATGCTCACGGTGATCCCATGCATGATGGATAAAATGCTGCCTCATCCTGCAGCACCGTATGACTGACTGCACTGGACTACGGTGACCACAGCATTCTCATGGACTACTTTATTCAGAGAAGATCATCAGGGTCTTTTTTCCTAAGCGACCCTGATTTGGAAGCTCTGCTGAGACCTGCTCAGCATCAAGGCCACAGGCAAGCCTCCAGGGCTGGGTGACAGCTGCACGACATGTGAGTGTCACTGGCTGGGAACTGAACCTGGGTCCCCGGCATGCTGTTGTTGTGTACCATCGAGTTGGAACCAACTCCTAGTCAACTCTGCAGTGGGTTCTCACAGACAGTTAACTGGATGGGACGAGACTGCTCATCTATCTCTTGTGCAGCAGCTGGTAGTTTTGAACTGTGCACCTTCCTTCATGGAGGTAAGTAGTCCACCATCAGGCAATCTGCCTAAAGTAAACCAACTATTCCTGACCAGCCTACATTTAAATCCATGTGTATATGACCCCAAAGTGTAAGCTGCTTTTCTATTTAACCATGTTGGCTCTTCAGGGATGTGGCCCCTCAATGCCCTGCTTGGCCTCACAGACCTGTCTTCTTCCTCCCCCTCTCCATCCCTTTCTTTCCCACGATTTGAATTACAGGTGAAGGTCAAGTTTGTGCTGAGATTGTCTCCTCGTTGGGTTGTGGTCACACCCACATCAACTAAAGCCCAGGCCTCAAGACCACCTGTGTTTACAACCAGAATCAGAGGGAGCTTAGCAACAGGCAGCTCTTTTGTCTCATGTGGAAGAAAAAGGAGAGGTGGTAGGATAAGGGACCAGCTGGGCAGCTCCTGGGGCTGCTGCAGCCCTGAGATCCAGATACCCTTGTGCCTGGTGAGATGCTGGCAGAGGCAGGAGGAATGACAACCGTGTGATAGAATGGGAAGCTCTGCCCTTCACTGTCGTATCCTCTGTCCCCAGAGCTCCTTCCTCAGGACAGTAGTCAGGCCATCACCAGCTTTCATCTAACTCTACGGGGAGGATGTGCAGGCCCAGCATCTGGGACATTAGCAGGCTTCTGACACACCATCTGCCTTGTGCTACGCTCTGTCTATATGGTGTTACTCGCACTCTCCTCGTCAGAGCACAGCTGAGTTGGGCATCTGCACATGTTACTCCCTCTGCTGTACCACCCACTGCCCTCTGACTCATAACTCCTCCTAACTCCAACAGCTTGGAAGTGACTTCCTCCAGGAGGCCGGCCTCGGCGTTTCCTCTTCATAGCATCCCCAACACTGCATCAGAAGTCTAGTTCCAGCAAGTCTCTCCTGCCTGACTGTGGGTGACTGCCAGTCAGCAAGTCTGCTCAGTCCATCTCTGTTCTCCCACAAAGTGACAGCACAGCGAACATCTCGATGTCTGCTGAATGAGTGAGTGCAGGGAGGGATGGATGCCAGATGTGCCTCTGAAGAGAAATGCCTCCTTCCCCCCGCCCTGGCCTTCTATACAGCTGCACTGCTGCGTCCTGGCTCCACCCTCTGCCACCCTCTCCACCTAGTCCCCTGGCACTCTTCTGAGGCACCTTCCGCATACAAAGCCTACTGGGAACTCCTTACCCTGCTCACTGGCTTGCTTAGGGCTCCTCGATTGGGGAACCTTCACCTAGGAGATGAAGGCCTTTCTGTAACTTGCTATCTGTGTTACTCCCAGGGATGTACAGAATTAATGGATATGAACGATGAAGAGGGGAGCTCCCACAGGATGAAGGAAGGAGGGGCCAGTCATGACACCAGCTGTTTTGAGTTGTTCCATTCTCCTTCTCTACATCCTTCCCTATTCCATATCCCTGCAGGACTCCTGGGTACCAGAAAGTTAGGTAAGTTATAAGCAATGAGGCTCACTAAGCAGGTGATGGGCAGTAGCCATGACTGAGGCCTAATGAGCCCAGCCCAGCCTGGCCTGACTCCAGAACAGAGCTGTCTCCTGCCAGATCCCACAGGTGAGGCAATGCATGGAACTTTCCAGAAGCCCAGACGCTGTTTTCTGGGAATCATCACTGAGGGCACACAGGCTCACAGCTGGGACTGCATGTCAGGAGGGGGCCCAGTGAGGCAATCTTTCCACATTTACCTGGCTCTCAGACACCAGGGGAAAAAAAGGAGAACATGGGAGAGATCTCAGGAATGATCAGTCTTTCACTTTGGGTGGAGAAGACCTCTCCAGAGGTCTCACAGAAAGGGCAAGCATAGACCCACCCTGGGTGCTGAGAGGGGAAGCCACAGACATCACTGGTGTCCCTCCAGCAGCTCATGCCAACGGCTCAAATAGTTCTCTGTCGCTGGTACCAGGGAAGTTCAAGGTACTCCTCCCCTTCTGATTTACCTCAAGCCAAACCCTAGGAAGGAGTTCTCACCAACACAGGGTTGGTCCAAGGTCATAGTACATGGCCAGAAACTTCAGCAAGGGTGCAGGTGAACCTGCGCTCACCCCATCCTTCCTTCTTCTGATTGTTCTAGTACCTTGGATTTGCCTGGTGCCCAGGTCAGACCAGGCAGGAGCTCCTGAGAGTTGGAAGAACTGAGACTCTTTGTGGTTCCTGAGAGGCCCGGGCACAACGCTGGTTTCCTTCCTTTCTTCTTTCTTTCCTTAACTCTTGTGGATGAATAGTAAGATGAATTACTGGGGAAGGTGGGCCCTGACCCACCCCTTTGGCCTGGCTTCTTTACTTGGGCTGTCTGTTCTATGCCAATCTGTCCATCAGGAAGCAGGATCTGATGTCTGAGCCAATCCCAGACCATCTCATACCTTTACAGTGATTGGGCACTGAGAGGTGAAAGAAAGGAGCTGGGATCAGGCCCTTGCCCAGTGGAAACTTCTATCCTAAAAGGAAGCGTTGGCAGGGGTCCAAGGGCAGGGAAAAGGTTGTGCCAGGAAGGGGTGGGCAGACAGGCAGAGCGAGAAAGCAGTCCTCAGGCTCTACAGAGTTCCCCAAGGCAGACCGCATTTTTCCCCACTTCCCTCTGACAAGGGCCTATTGGCAATCCCAATTCTAATCCCTCATGGCAATAGGACAAGGCTTTGAGGATACTAGTCTCAGCTCCTAGACTTTATAAAACTGTGGGGTGTCCTTAGGGGTTAATAGTTAATAGCAAGGTAGTAAGTACTCAAGGCAAGCTTCAAGTCACACCCCTAACCCCAATTTCCAGATGAATAAATGTTGATTGTGGAGACCAATCAGTAGAAATGCCTTTCCCTCTTCTTGCCTAGCTATTTGTGGTGCCTCAGAATATCATTCTACACCTTGACTGGCACCCCCTACATTCCCCACCACCTGCTCTAAGCCTCTGGCTTTCTCTACCATGTTGTCAAGGCTGTGGGGAAGAAATAGAAACTGCTCAGTGGTGGGCCCCTCGGCATGTGCCATACCTCAGATTAGCTTCTTGCTGTCCCCTGCCCACCCTTTTCCCTCTCTGGTTTGTGTGAGCAGTGGGCCTACGTGGCCTTAGGCTGAACTGAAGCCAGACATGCACATTGCTGCCCAGTCCTTTCTTTTCTTTGGGCAAATGGCCTGGACCCAGTGGAGCCTGGCTGCTCCACTTGGCCTGATTCTGAGGTGTGCCCCTTGCCCACTGTTCCACCTACCTGAATTTCTTGACCTGACTTCTGTCTTCTCTTTCACTTGCTACCTTTCTGATACTGCCTGTACTTGGCCTTGCTTGTTAAAGGGCTGTGGAGTTAAACCAAATCGCACTGAGACACCCACATGCAGGTTAAGCTGTTCCCACCCTTAACTCTCTCTCGCTTCATACCGGTGGTGGAGGGCTGGCTGTCATCATTCTCCTCTGGTTGGAGGCGTGGGTACAGGGAGATGAATGACCTGAACTCTGCAGTACCCTTCCCCCTTGGGGAGATAGCTGCTAACAGCTGGATGTGGGGGGTCAGGGGAAGTGGCCCCAGGCAAGCTGGCAAGCATCCCTGCAGGCCTAGAGCTGAGAAACAGAAGTCTCAGGAGGAGACCCACGGGTGGTCTGCTAAAGAAATGGGCCTGGGATTTTGCCGACCAGGAACGACTACAGATCCTGATCACCTCTGAAGGGTAGATTCAGACTTAGTGACAGATCGGGAATCCAGCTACAGGCCAGTGGTGAAAGTATGAGGTGGAGAGAGGCCACGACTTGAGAGTTTGGGGTTTGGGGATTAGCATCCTCTGAAAAAAGTCTGATGTTCCTGTATAATGGCTCCAGGGCCCAAATAAGTCTTCCTTTCTTGGCTGAGAAAGAGGGTTTGTGTTAAAAGACCAGAGTCAGAGAGTATGAGGTCCTGGGATAAGCCACATATAAGCTTTTCTTACTCTGAGGATCTAAGGGAGAGGCCTGGGCTCAGGTCAGGGGCTAACAGGAGGAGGTCAAGAAAGGACCTGGAGCCTGGGTGGTTGGGAGTAGGTAGCAGACATCAGGCATATCAGGTCCAGGAGTTTGGGCAGATAACTTCAGCCTCTGTCTCTTGGTTGCTTTTGGGCATTTAAGTCCATGAAATGCTCATTTTTACAAGATTCCTACTTGCTCTTGGGGTAATGGGTGGACCTGGAAATGTGGAAGGCCAGAGAAAGGCCCGCTTCAAGAAGGACAAGGAGCTTGTGCACTCGGGGAAGCTCACCACTCTCTCCTTGTAGACAATGTACTTCAACCACTTGAAGTCCTGCCACTTGAAGCCAGCAAGGACGAAGAGGGAATCGCGCTCATACTGCTCGGGTCGTTGCATGGCGCCCTCGGGGTAGGTGATGCGCAGTGTTGTCTTGCTGCCCACGTCCTTCTCAAAGCCTTTCACTGGTGCTGAGTTCAGTCTAGAGAGAGCAGAGCCAGTGAGAGCCTGCCCTGAGCTCCACACAGCAGGGAGTACTAAGGGGCTCACTAACATGGGCCTGTGCTATAGGCCCCCTAGAAGGATTCTCCTAGTGTGATTAACTGCCTCGGAAAACCTGCCGGTGGGAAGTCACCTATGGGTCAGTTCTCTGACTCTACGGTACCAACAACAACAACAACAACAACAACGGATTGCTATGAATCAGAATCATCTTGACAGCAGTGGGTTCAGCTTTTGATTTAGGTGTTTGAGGAGGCACCATGACCCCAGAATGTCCCCAGGTGCTCCAGGTATAGAGAATGAAGAGCCCATATTACCTAGTAGCACGTAGTTCCCCATTCCAAAGCCCTTAAACCCAGGGTTTTCCCTAACCCTTCTGCTGGCCCCCAGCCTACCTGGCCAGGTGGATAGTTCTCAATGGGCTCGGGTCAGGACACTGAGGTGCTGAGGCACCACTGTGGAATGCTCACCTGACCACGATGTCATAGTCGTCAATTCGTGATCCCAGAGACTTGTTGGCAAGGACACCTCCATTGCCCACGATGATGCAGCGACGACAGCTGAGGCTGAGGGAGAGATAGAGCCCTCTGTGGATGAGTCCCCCTGCTCCTTTGCCCTTGATCTCACGACCTGAGTCCTTGGGCTTCTGATAGCATTTTTGAGAAGAAGCCAGGAACTAGACCACTTGGGACTCTCTAACTCTCTCTAGTTCCTGACACACCCCCCAAAAGATAACAAGGGTGTGGAAACATCTTCTGTATTAGCACTGAGGATGATGAAGGTGGGGATTCTGGAAAGATGGGGATTCTGGGTAAGAGTTCCTCCAAAGGGAGTGAGGTTTAGGCAGCTTTTATGAGAGAGAAGAAAGTAGGCTGTGCCTGACGAGGAGGGAGACTGGGGCAGGACTGGAGGGTCACTACTTTTTAGCTCAAAAGTTTGCTTCTCCTGTCACTGACTTTTGGACATTCTCCTCTGGGATCTGCCAGCTTCAGGACTGGCTTAAACCATATGCCCTTCAGCTCCCCCGACCCAGGTCCTCAGTACCAATGCTGCGCTAAACCCAGCTCTGATGTCTTCAGTTCTTGATCCCAAACCTCTGAAGTGATAGGACCAGATGTCCTTGCTAAGCTCTTGTAGCCTCCAGGGTGTAAGCCCAGTGGACTGGCCCACCTTGTCTGCTTTGCTCACTCCTCTGTGTGTACTACACATGCACATGTAAGTGGGTTGCAGAATCTGCTCCTGTCCAGGAAAGGCCACCGAGCTTGAACATCTCTGCACATACCAGGCAGACGGAGGTAGAAGGCCGGGCAGGGAGTGAGTGGCTCACCTATCCAAGGCAGGGGTCAGGCGGTACTCTTTGGTGACTGACAAGATGGCTTTGATCAGATTGTCTGTGGACAGAAGAGGGAGGCTACTGTGAGATGGTCATTTAAATTTCTCTATGTTGATTGATCATCCAATTGTAAGGCAAATCCAGTCTCAGCACAAATTTCTGAGGCTCGGGAGGAGGTGGAGGTGAGGATAAGGAGCTTTGAAAACAAGGCTGGCCTGGGCCACTGCCCTAACTCTGTCCCTGAGAAAGAAGTATTAGACAACAAAGCAGGTTGGCAGCAAATCTCTGCTGGGACCCAGAACTAAGTCCTGGCATGTAGCTCCTCTTTCTGGGTTTCAGAACTTATGTAAGTCTAGTCCCTTTCAGGGACTCTCAGCTGGTTTCCTGGAGAGGCTAAAGTCAAGCCCCAGGACATGCATCCCCAGGTTCAAGGATCTGGCTTGCAAACTGTGGCATCTCAGTTTCCCCTACTATGGGAGACCCTATGCAGAGACAATGACCATGTTCTGCTTATCTATGTGTCCCCAGGACCACATTTCAAACAAATGGGGAGACAATCAATGGCTGAAGAGCAAGAGTGGTTCCAGCCAGTTCACCCAGTCAGAACTCTCAGTCTCCTTTCCCGATATCATTTCCACCTCACCTCACCCATTTAACACTGACAATGCCTTACCTCCTATTCTTTGCCAGGCTGTCTATCATGTCAACTCTCAGGAGCCTAGTGTCTACCCATCTGCACTCAGCAAGGAACCCAAGACCTCTGCGTTCTCAAATCTAGTAACCACTTCCAGCTCTTACTCTTCCTGGCCTCTCAGCAATGACGACTGTTCCCTTATAAGCTCTGGTGTAAGAACAGCAGAGAACATTGGATAAAATCCTGGCTCTGCTATTTATGTGCTTTGTGACCTTTGAAAAATCATCTACTTTCTCTGAGCTTTAGTTTTTTCCTATCTTTAAAATAAAGGAATAAAGGACCCAATTTCTATTTTACAAGTTTGTTAAGATAATGAACATAAAGACCTAAAATGAAAGTAAGTAAATTGAATAACCACATTGGAAAGTAACTGAATAGTGTCAGTATTTACATACACTTAAATAGTATCAAGATGGATATCTGTATACAGTGAAAATCTTACAACTCTAACTCCAGATTTATAAGCTGAAAAAAAGCATTGAAAAACTCGTATACGTTCAAGAGGACTTGTATAATACTTCTTACAGAACTGAAAAAAATGGATTAAATGTGATGCACAGAATATCATAGAGCAGTTAAAAATCAATGTCCTTCAATTGGCATTCAACATCCTACTTTAGTGACTGTCAACTGGGGTCTTAAAAGATTGTAAGCAGCTATCTAATGGTCTCTCCTTGTCTGAAATGAAAGACAGTATCTGGAACAAAAACTCTGTCTGGAATAAAGAATAAAAAATTAAAACACTCAAACTCATTGCCATATTCAGAACCAACACACAGCCAACTTTCCAGTTTTCCCAGGCTGTAAATCACAAAGGAGGAGACTGACCATCTTCTCCTGCAGAGCAGCTGGTGGAATAGAACAGCCAAGAGAGAGGCTGCCTTTGGGTTAGCAGGGCAACTCCTAACAGACAACACCAGCAGAGCTTCCCTAAAGAAAATCCAAGCCGTATGGAAACATTTAGTCTAAATGGTCCATGTGAACTTGAAACTCTATGATCCTGAGACCAGAAGAATGGGACTACCATTATAACAACTCTAAAAATGGAGGGTCCTGGGCACAATGGTAGAAAAATGTGGAACGAAACTAAAAAAAAAAAAAGGCCCGACTTACTCATCTGGTAGAGACTTGTGAAATTTGAACATTCAATGATTTATTAATTGCAAATATATTTTTAAAGAAACACAAATGGTGACTATACACATGGACCTCATCGGTGGACTGCACAGAAATCAGACTGACTACGTATCTCTGGAAAAAAACTGGTGGAAAAGCTAAATACCAGCAGTCAAACCAGGCCAGGTGCTGACTGTTGAACAGATCACCTCATGTGTGAGGGCAAACTGAAGTTGAAGAAGATTAAAGCAAGTCCACAAGAACCAAAATATGACCTTGAGTCTATCCCACTGAGATTAAAAATCATCTCAAGAACAGGTTTGAGGCCTTGAAACATTGACTGAGCACCAGGGGCTGTGGGATGACATAAAGGATACCATCCATAAAGAGAGCAAAAGGTCATTTCAGAGACAGAGGAAAAAGAAAAGACCAAAATGGATGTCAGAAGAGACTAAAAATTACACTAGAGCATTGAGATGTCAAAACAAAGGGCAGAGATGCAGAGGTGAAAGAGAGAAATAGAAAATGTCAAATAGCAGCTAATAAAGACAAAGCAAAGTATTTTAACAGAATGTGCAAGGAGCTGGAGTTAGAGCACAAAAAGGGAAGAATTCACTTAGCATTTCTCAAGCTGAGAGAACTGAAAAACAAATTCAAGCCTTGAGTTGCAATACTGAGAGATGTAGGAGGGAAAACTCTTGAGTGGGTCAGGAAGCATCAAAAGAAGACAAAGGGAATACACAGAGTCATTGTATCAGAAATAATGGGTTGACACTGAAATATTTCAGGAAGTACCATGAGATGAAGAGTCATGGTAATGAAGGAAGAAGCTGAAGCTGCACTGAAGGCATTGGCAAAAAAATAAGGCCCCAGGAATCAATGGGATCTCCCTCCTGTATGGCCACTCGTTGGCCAAGGTCAAGGATATGGACTGGGTTTTGCATTTTTGAAGGGAAATATTAGTAAAAAGAGCATGAATTAGCAGGTGCTCACTTCTTGCTGGCCTATACACTCTACTGGCCTTTCTTGCTTTGTAGTTGTAGGTAGGGTCAGAGTCCTGAGCACAGATTTGGGCGGAAACAGCAGGTTGCTTGTTGACTTATACCCACAATAGAAGAGTTCTCCATGTGTTTCTGCCCAATGCATTAGAATTTGTCTTTGAGTATTTGAAGTAAAAGCCTCAGGTCAAGAGTGTCTTTCTGCTGGCCACTGTCTTCTATTCAGACAGGGGCAGGCCGGCTGATAAGTTTCAGGTATTCTTGAGTCCTCTCTCCAAATAACAGTATAGTTGTCTTATTTAATTATGATCACAGCCTTAGACAATGGTACTGGTCTCTTCAGCTGAAGGGACTAAAGCACAGAGAGGCTAGGCAACTTGCCCAAGGTCACAGATAGTAAAGTGGCAGCCCTGAGATCTCATCCCTTCTAACCCTAAAGTCCACCAGGCCAAAAGATGGTGCAGCACTTTGACAAAGAAGATGAAACCGTTACAACTGTTAGTGATGAGAAAATCTTGGCTGAAGTTCTTAAGGTAATGGATGAGGATCATTTATAAGATGAGCCTTGTATAGGATAAGAAAAGACCAGAGGGGAGACTGTTATGCTGAAAACAGCAGCAGGACGAGGTAACGAAGGAGCCTCAGGGCATTCTTGTGGCCTCTACTTACCCTGGGACTGTCCCCCTCAGGCCCTCGGTGTTCCAGCTCTAATGTCTCTGATGCACTTTTCCTGTGATCTCCCAGCACCTTTTACTTCTCTCATCAGAATCCCTAGTTTCCTAACCAAGTATCTGCATTCTTGACTAAATTGGAACTTTGAGGCAAGGAACACTATCTGCCTACTTCACTGTTGGATTCCTAGTCCTGAGCAAAGAAGTGGGCTCTATTAACATTCTATTAAATAAATAAGAAAAAAAAATCCTCAACAAAACAAAGGAAGGATGGAGAGATAATGAACACTGCATTAGAACAGAAAAGGGTGGGAGCTCTGGTGGCCTAATGCCAAGACGCTGCACTGCAATACCAGAGGTATGTGGTTCAAATCTACCAGATGCTCTGCTGGAGAAGGAGGGACAATCTCCTCCTGTACTAGTCAGATCTAATTTTGACGGTACACACCCAAAAAATAATAAAAATTTAAAAAAAGAACAGATGAGGACAAGAAGCGTGTGAAAGGAATGTATGATTAGGCATTATATATAAACAACTCATAATCTAGAACAACAGGTGCATTGCAAAGTGGTCTGAGGGAGGGGGAGGAGGAGGGAGGAAAATGTGCATCAGGGAATGAATGAAAGCCCAACCTTTCCGTAAAGTTTCATTAAAATCACAATAAAAAGGGAAACAACAAAGAAAGGGAAAGAGTGAGAGAAGGTAAAGGCATTGAATGAAGGATGGATGCCCCGTCCCTGGAGCTGTCAACTGAGGGATGAAATGTTGTTATAGAGTGGGCCAGGACCCCTCAACATACCTTGACCTTTGATTCCAAAAGGTGGCACAAACTCCCGGATTCTGGCCCATTTGCGGAAGGAATCATCCAGGAACATGGGTGCTGGCTTGGAGAACCTGGAATACAACAACAGTATTGGGGATCCAAAAAAAATGAAATAGGCTACTGTACTAGTTGCCTCTGTGTCCCCTTGGCTGTGGATTTGCTGGAAGCCACCCCCTACCTACCAGCACACTGTCTACCCTAGTTTGTTCACTGACAGATGTTGTGGGGGTCTCACAGACCTTGCTCAGTGAAGCCTGACTCTCAGAGGGCTGGCCGCCCAGCTCTTCTGTGGCCAGCTCTAGGAGCAGAGAGGCAAGATTTGTTCAACAACAATCAGTATCTCAGCCTGGGAAGCTCTCCAAAGGTTATCCACGCATTCATCAAAGTCACTGTTACCCAAACTGTTTCTGTAGTTTGTGAACATGGAGATGAGACATTGTGTGGCCAAAGGGAAAATATCCTAAAACTCAGTCTGCACGAGGAGACACAATTCTGGAGAGAATTCTGGGAGGTGGACCACCCAGGGTGAGGAGGAGGGAGAATTCACTGAAAAGGCAAAGCAGGTTAAAAGCTATAGGAGACAGAAATATGGTAGAGAAGAGAAAGAAAAAGCTGTGTGTCCTCTGACTGGGAGGCAGGGTTGAGAGGAGAGGCTGTAGACAAGTGGAAACTTGAGCACATTAGTTGGTGGAGAGAGGGAGAGAGAGAACAGTAAATTCTTCAGAGAAGAGGGAGTGACCTGCAACAAAAGGGGAAAAGCCAATTTTAGGAGGACAAAAGAATAGGGTGAAGATATCCTGAGCTGAGAAAAGAAAACGCAAGGCATATTCATCCAGGGAAAGCAGAGGAGCGGGTGGGGCAGAGTGCAGGAGGATGGGGGAAGGTCAGAGGCATGCAGAGGCCAGTGAGGTGGAGAGTGATAGATACAGTCAAGCTCTTCAGAGACACCGGGAGCAGATAACTTCACGTGGAACCTAACACTGTTTTGAGACTTGCTGAGGCAGCTGTCAGCCTAGAAGATGGTCAACACTTTACTGTTGAAGCCTTCTGTCTCTGGCCTTCCTGGCTCCGAATGGATGTTTCTATGCCTGGGCTGTGAGAGATGATATGCCTCAGTGGTTACGTCTCTTTATTCCTAACTCAACCCGAATTGGTCCACAGTCTAATGGAAGGCTAAAGCAGAGAGTCTTCTCAGTGCAAAAGCTAGAATTTACCCCTCAGAATCGACTCAATAGCATTTAACAATAACAAAATGTGCTATTACCAGAGGCATTCGTTTCTCATCACCAAACACCATTATAATCAATCACTCACCATTACCCGGAAGAAATGCTATCAGTAAATACTTAGGGGTAAAATATTACTAGACATTTTGACATGAACTTGAAAGAGGCAGGGAAGTTTTAATCTTGCTCCCTCCCTCATCTTTCATCACTAAGAGAAGCTGTTAACACTTAATAGAGTTAGAAGGTCATTCTTATATAATGACTTTCCCTTAGACTTGTAAAACGTGAAGTAGCAGAGGCTTCTGACCTACTCTAACTTCAGGAGAGGGAGAGAGACTCACCATCAGTATCAACAGTTCAAGGCGGATTATTTGAAGCAGAGGTCAGATCTATCTTTTATCTCCAAATTTTTACATCAGTTGTCCTTCCTGCGACACCCTTTATTTCTCTACCAGGTTTGCAAATTCATTTCAATGACCACAGAGAACTCACAGACAATACGCCCAATGATGTGTTCTATTAGGGAAGTAACAAGCTACCAGGGAGCTCTGGTGGTGTGTTAAGTAGGGAGTCACACTGCTAACCTGAAGGCTGCTTGCTGTGCCCCTCTGGTAGTTCAAATCTAACTAACAGAGCCTCTCAGGGAAAAAGAAGGGCACTCTCCTCCTGTGTGATTTACAGCCTCTGAAACCTAACGCTGAGTCAGCATGTTGTTGTTGTGTACCACTCACTGAGTCAGAATCAACCCACAGCTGACCCTCCAGTGGGTTTTCAGAGGCAGTAATCCCACTAGGGGAGATTGCCCATCTTTCTCCCGTGGAGCAGCTGGTGGATCTGAACCAGGTACCAGGGTCCGCTCTGAGACAGTTTAACTTGACGGCAATAAGTGGCATAATTGATAGATAATTGCACTGCTAATCCAAAGGCCATGCATCTCCCAGGTTCGAGTCTACCAGCAGCTCTGAGGGACAAAGATGGGCAATCTCCTCTTGTTGAGAAAAGTCTTGGAAACCCAATGAAGGGTCACTGTGAGTGAGATTCCATGGCAGTGAGTTGAGTTGCTGAGTTGAATCCAAGTCAGGATCAGGAAGATTTGGGATGTAGTTTTTCACCCAGGATTGCTCCCTCACAGGCAGATCTCACTTTGGCCTCTGGATTCTTGGCCCAACCTGGCCTCTACCCTGGTGGGGCAAGTTTTACAAAGCTCTTTATCTCCAATAAGTAACAAGAGGCAATGGCTGAAGATACTCAGCTCTCTTTGTGGACCAAGAAGCCCACTGCATCTTCTACCTGGCTCCTGGTTCTGCTGCCTCTGTGTCACTGTTTCTCTGCCATTACATCTCACTAACTCTGCACATCTCTAGTAATACAGCTTTTTAACTCCTGGATAGAGGAGGCTCTCAGGACAGGGACCTTGAGTCCAAAGGACACGTTCCACTCCCTGCTATCTTCTTTGTGGTAGTCCCTTTACACTTCAGGGATGGCTCATTTAAGTCCAGTGGGACTGTAAAACTGACTGTAACCCTCATTATGGCTTCTTTGCACTCTCAATAGAGAGTCATGTATCTTATTTGTATTATTAGTAAGCTGTCCAAAGCCCTTGGTGTTCCGCAAGTACCTTATTTGCAGGGTTTCATCCACTTTATGGGTAGGAGTTAGAAGATTATGGTTAGAAAGGCCATGCAAAAGCTACCTATCCCACCTCAGGCCATCTCCTGGCTTTTCTAGTCACAGTTCTTTCATATTTGGATGGTAATGTCCAGGAAGCTCTGGTGGTCTAGTCCATACAGAGTTGTATTGCTAACCCTAAGGCCAAAATGGTTAGACCCAAGGTGGTGAGCATTCACTGGTGGCTCTGTAGGAGAAAGTTGGGCACTCTCTTCCCCTGGAAACCCACTGAAGTTCATCTATGAGTCTGTCGTGACTCAAGGGCAATATAAGCTTTTTTGTTTTAGTTTGCTCAAACTAGTAATGAGTTCTGGTGGTGTAATGTGTAATGTGCCAGGATGCTAACCAAAAAGCTAGAGGTCTGAATGCATCAGCCACTCTAAGGAAGAAAGATGGGAAGCCCCCCCTTGGACAGATTTACAGACTCGGAAACCCAACGGAGGGATGCTGTGAGTTGGAACCAACTTGAAAGCCGTGGACTTGTCAAACTAATACTCTGAGGAGACACACATGTTCTTTACTTTAAAAACTCTTGTGTTTCTGTTTGAGATTTTGACCATCAGTTATCTACAAGCAAAATCTAGTTGCGAGTAAGCTGATGGTGTCATAGGCTCACAGGTGTTCACATGCCTCCTTGCACTTGAGACCAGTCAGTCCCTTCTCTCTCACCCCTAGCTCTCAGGAGCCACGCCAATAGGCACCACATGTAGGCTCAAGATTCACATAACACCCTGCATTTCAGACCAGCCAGCCCTTCCTTCAACATTTTTCCCCCCTCTCTCAACCTGAACTTTTATGGGTTAGGTCAATGAAAGTCAGTGGAACATGTCCAAACAGCCTATCTTTTCATTGCTGCACCTCTTACTCCATTCTTTGAATGGACTCAGATGGTCAAGGCGAGTGAGCATACTATGCAGTCTACTCTCAACTCCGTTTAACCTTCTCTCCTTTCATACAACGCTCAACAAGTCCCTTTACTATCTAGTCACAGAAGGACACCAACTTTTCTCACCTCAGGGCACTCAAAGTCAAACCACTTGCTCAAAATGTAAAAGGAAAGTCCTCTCCACCCCCACCGCCCTTTAGATCTTTTCTTCAAATGAAAATCTTTTGTCCTCCCTGAAGTTCTGTGTAGGTCTGATGTCTTCTACCTGTATATTTTCTGGTTGGGGCTCATATTTTTTACCTAAGCCTCTGAACACTGTACATACAATTTTACCATAAAACAACAGACTATGTTTTCCACAAATCCTCCAATCAACTATTAATAGTTGAAGGCTTTCTGTTATATAATACCCATTTCCACTGCACATATAGGCCTATTTTACACTAGGTAGGAGAAGTCACCATCTATAGTATATTCAAGTAATAAAGAAAACATAAAACGAGGGGGAGTGTTCAACTTAAGTCAGATCTGACACGTAATGGAGTCATCAGAAAGGAACCCAATAGTAAGTCAGGGACTAACTCTACAGTGAAATCCTATGGACTCACTACCCAGATGAAACAATTTTATTAATCATGCCCATTTTATTATTATTTTTTAAATCCCAGAAATAGTTTAATACACAGAGTATTTATCTCTAAAAGGTAAGGATATGTAAAAAATCCACACCTAAGAAACTCTTAAAAATCTTACCATATTTTAAAAACTGACCATAATTTCTTAATAGAAACAAATACCCAATTTGTTCTCAAATTTCTACTTTTGCTCACTTTTTTTGCGAGGTGTCTATGTAGATGACACCACCTTGCTCACTGAAACTGAGGAAGACTTGAAGTGTCTTCTGCAGAAGATCAAGGACGGCAGCCTTCAATAAGGATTGCATCTCAGTATCAAGAAAACAAAGAAACTCACTACTGGGCCAATAGGCAATATCATGACATATAGAGAAAATTCTGAATCTATTAACAATTTTCTTTCTCAGGTACACAATCAACACTCCTGGTACTAGTACTCAGGAAATGACAAGGTAAGTTGCACTGGATAAATCTGTCAAGGACCTCTCCATAGTGCTAATGAGCAATAATTTCAGTCAAGAGACTAAGGTGTACCTGGTTCAGGCCACTGTCATCTCAATTGCTTGCTATGCATTTTAGAACTGGGCAATGTATAAGGATGACAGAAGAAGAATCAATGCATTTGAGTTGTGGTGCTGGAAAAGAGTATCAAGCAT